TGGGGATCAAACTCGGGTCCTTGTGCTTGTGAGGCAGGCGGCAGAACCACTGAGCTAAATCCCCGGCTCAAGTAATTGATTAACTTTTTTTTTTAGTACCGGGGATCAAACTCAGGTCCTTGTACTTGCAAGACAGGTGCCGGAACCACTGAGCCAAATCCCAGGCCCTTGGCTTTGTCTTTTTGCTGTATGATTTTAGGCAAGTTACCTTTCCTGATCCAGTTTTTATTTTTTTTCTCCTCTGTAAAGTGGGAACAGTAAATTCTCCCTAGGGTTGCTGACAGGATCAAGTTCAGTAAAGCTCAGGCAGTGCTTAACATCATGCTAGGAACGTAACAAGGACCAGATAGATAGGAGCTGCTATTATTCTGAAACATTATCATCCATGATGGTAGAAGTAGAAGTGGCACCTGCCTTTTTCATTGTGTATTTCTAGTACAGAGTACATGATGAGTAAAGTATGCTGAATGGGTATGTGCATCATAAAAATCAGGCTATTTCCACAAGCCATTAGATTGTGTTGGAAAGAAATACAAGCCAAATTTATTTCAATACTATTTTTTGTTTTGTTTTGTTGATCTTAATGCATACCTGGTGGTAGTAACATTGATGTGCTTTTCTTTTTTCGCTATAAGGTTTCGGTATGTGGTTTAGGGTGGTCTTGAACTTACTGTGTAGCTCAAGTTGGCCTCAAACTCATGGTGATCCTCCTGCCTCAGCCTGAGCTGGGATTATAGGCATGTACCACCATGCCCGACTAACATTCAGGTTTTTAATATCTTATCTTTAGGATAGGCCTTGTCAGTTATAGGTAAATTTAGGTTTCTTTGAGAAATAAGATCCACAGAGTTGATGACTATATTACTTTGGCAAAAGATTTCCTTTTTTATGTGTAAAATGAAGAGGCTGGGCTTAAACTCTACGTTCCAACTTTAGAATTTTACTTTTCCTAGTGAGAATGTAATACAAAAGGATAATTTTAGTGGTTTGTAACTCTTAACTCCTTATATTAATTGTCAGGTGGCTTTGGAGAACCATCTATACATCTGTAACCATAGATTTACTCCTTTAGATAAAAATCTAGAATTCCTCCTTAGTTTCTTTAAAAAAAAAACTTACTGAGGAATAGTCTGTGTAGCATGCATTCCACCCATTTAAGTATACAGTGGCGGTGGTTTTAGGTTGGGTGGCATCCTGTGGACCTGCAGTCCTTGCTTGATAGGCAGAGGTGGGAAAATGGCATGAGCCCAGGGAAGTTGAGTCCAGCTTTGCCGATATAGAGAAACCCATGTCAAAGCAAACACTCTCAATGGTTCTTAGTGTGTTAACAGATGGGTGCAACCACTACCACAATTAATTTTAGAGCATTTTTATCACCTCAGAAAGAAAGCTATGCTTTTTAGCTGCCACCCATTTCTCCCAGCTCCAGCTCCAGACAGCCACTAATCTGTCTTCTCTGTCTCCAGAGCTCCCTGCTCTGGGTTTCTGTGAAGGGAACGATACGATATGTGGTCTTTTGTGCCTGTATCTGTCAGTATTCCTCTCTGCCTTCTTATTTTTACTATATATATTTTTAACTTAGGAGTTTATTAATGTTGGAAAGTTCAGTTACTTTATAGTCTTTTTTGTTTTCTTTGTTTTTTAGTCCTAAATGCAAGATGTTTTTTCCCATTAGATTGAGATAGTTCTTTTCTCAGTTACTTTTTTCATTGCTGAGACAAATATCTGACACCCAAAGTTAAAGGAGGAAAGGTTTATTTTCTGCTCACAGTTTATAGAGGTTTCCGTCCATAATCATCTGGCTCCAAGGCAGGGTGCCATGGCAAGGGGCATTGCAGAGCAGGCAGAAGGCAGCAGCAGACAAGCAGTGAAACAGCAGAAGTAACAAGCGAGTGCAAATGCCCTCTTTCTTTTTTGGTACCTGGGATCAAACTCGGGACCTTGCGCTTGTGAGGCAGGCGGTGGAACCACTGAGCTAAATTCCCGGCCCCATACAGATTATAAGTGTTTTAGTGGTTTGGTAAGGTAGGCACACCAGGTATTTCTGGAAGCTCAGATTGGGCCTTTGTTGTCTCTGCCATCTTGCTGATAGGGAGTTGAGGGCAGCTTTGTTGTGGGGAAGCAGATTGGGCTTTTTTTCAGAAGTTTGTGGACCAATTAAAGGCTTGTACTGCAGGGTTGAAGAGCCCCTCCTGTCCCTCGAGTGTGGTTGAAAGGCTCCTTCACTGTTCCAGGTGGCTGCTCCGTGAAAAGTTTGTTAGATGCCCATATTTTTAACTTGCTGCTTTCCTTTCTTCCCTTACAGGGATTAAGGCCCGTGGTTTCCACAGAAGCACCACCTATCATATTTGCCACACCTACTAAAATGACCTCCAGTTACCCTGCATACGATTATGCTGGGAAGAACAAAGTTCCGGAGCTGCAGAAGTTTTTCCAGGTGAGGGAAGACACTTGGAAATAGAGAAGTATGTGAAATAAATAGACTTTAAAAATCCCTCCTGGAACTGAGTCTTACTCTAGTTCATTATGTGGCTTCCTTTTTCTTTAAATAGAATTCTCAGCTGGGCATGGTGGTACACAACTGTAATCCCAGCATTTGGGAAGCTGAGACAGGAGGATCTCTGTGAGTTCGAGGCCAGCCTGGGCTACATAGTGAGTTAAATACCAGCCTTCTCATAGCGAGACCCTGTCTCAAAACACCAAAAAAAAAAAAAAAAAGCCAAAAAACAAAAAATTCTTTATTTTAAGCCCTAAAGTAAGAACTTTATGTGGTAGATACAGTAACAGGGAAGGGTGGTTAGTGGGGTGCCTAGGTTTTCACAGGGCCTGTACAGTGTGCACTCCTGACCATTGCATGGATGAAGCAGTGGTGTGTAGTGTGGCACTCAGAATCATGCAGTGCATAATTGTTTTTGTGACACGTGGAATGACTTTTAGTAACAATTGTCTTCTAATGGTTTTTTGTTGTCTTGATATTAAAGTTCATAGAGTTGTTGATGGAAGTAGAGGAGCCCCTCTAGGGCTTGCTGGTCAGCTGAGAGAAGCCAGACTTGATGTTTTAGATAATACTAAGGTTAGTCTACTTGGAGTTGTTGAGAACTTGGTGAACTCAGCAGAACTGTTACAGGGTAGCTTCCCTCAGAAGCATAGCCAGAGTCAAGCCTGTCTCCTAGGGGTAGAGCACTTTGGTTTTGATCAGTTTAATCTCTGCTTGGTAAGATTTAAGAGGGCATTTGGAGTCTTGTGATGCAGTGGGAGGAGAGGGATTTGGAGACTGCAAAATAATGAAATATCTTATGGAATCTGATTATTAAATGGGGTTTAACATTAATGGAAAGAAGACAGTTGAATACAAAATGTACTTGAACCTATTAATTGACCTGGCATGGCCTTTGTTCTCGCAGAAGCCAAACTAAATGTAGAACTACTTGGGGAGCATTTCTTGTGCCTGCACTTATTTATTTAGCTGCTGATTGCCATTGTTTTTTAAAAATTCCCCTGTTCTTTCCTGGTTGAGTACTATGTATGTAATAAATGCCTTAGAAATGTGGAATCTGTTGCTTTCAGTTGCTCCAGACTCTTACTTTGGAGAGTGACTTTGGACTTACCAAACTTCAGCTACAGTTTTTAGAAGATACACTAATATTTTAGTCAGTGTTTTCATGGATTAGGGCTTTTTCCACTGCCTTGCGTGTGTAGATTAGTTTTGCAAAGACAAGTTTGTTCTTTATTAACCTAAAATTGTAAAGCCTGCCTTCTCAGCCTTGCCCCCCCTGCTTTCCAGAAGCCTGATGGGGTGCCTGTGCACCTCAAGCGGGGTCTGCCTGACCAGATGCTCTACCGGACCACCATGGCGCTGACACTGGGCGGGACGGTCTACTGCCTCATCGCGCTCTACATGGCCTCGCAGCCCAGGAACAAGTGAGTCAGGCTGCGCAGGACTTGGTGGCTTTTTGGCACAAACCCTTTTCAATTTTTATTTTCCATTTTTTTTCTTCACTTGGATGGTCTACTTAACATTTTTACAAAAAAGGTCTGAAGACGGTATTTTGGTGTATGAAATGCATATGGCCCATCAGATGTGAGAGCAGTTTGAAAGTTAAAACAATTGTGGAAAGAAATGGCGCTGCGCTCTGTGTTCAGGCCCCTAATTTCCCTGGAGGTTCCGGAGGAAGGCTGCACACAGGCTCATTAACAGCAGCCTGTGCTGAGGTCCTCGGAGATCGGGACTGGGTTTTAAGCATGGTGTGCAGAAGCCTTTCTGGATCTGGATGTGATGGAAGACAGATGTCAAGGCCAGGCGTGTGAAATAAGTAGGCAGTCACCTTGGGGATTTTTCCATTCCTTAGTAAAATGTGAATAGAAATTATTTGCAGCCTGTCTGTATTCATTGGGCAGTTTGTTTCAAAGGGTTATGTGCCTCATCCCAGGTCTTCGGTGAAATTCTATGTGTAGCTATCCTGTATTTTTTTAACCATGGGAACAGAGAACACTGCTGAGTGTTGCACTGTAGACTGGTGTCTTGTCTATGTGGCTGTGCCACAGGTTCTCCTTTATATTTTAAAAAAGTTATGGCTTTAAATCATGATTTATTTTGACTGGAATAAATACATGAATGAACATTTCAAGTTTGGAGTTCTTTAAATTAAATGGCTTTTCAGAATAATTGCAGAACACCAGAGACACCTTAAACCTGAGACTCATTTCTTTCTTTTCAAATCCCCCCACCTCCCACCGCCAAGCCCTGGGCAACCACTCACCTACTCAGTCCTTCTGGGACTCCCTTCTCTGAGATTTCATACCCATACCCTGCAATATGTGGCCTATGACTGTTTTCTCTCACTTTGTGTAATGTTTTGAGGTTTATCTGTGCCATGGCATTGTATTACTTTATTCCTTTTTACAGCTGAATAGTATTTGCATGGATATATCCCACATTTCACTTACCTACTCATCTGTTCATGGGCAGTTAATTGGGTGATTGGCACTTGTGGGCCGTGGCGAATCATGGTGCATTGAACACTGGTGAGCAAGGTTTTTGCATGGGTGTGTGTTTTCAGTGCTCTTGGCTATGTACCCAGGAGCAGGATTGCTGAAGAACTGCTGGACTGTTTCCACCTTAGCTATAATTTTACATTCCTACGAGTGCTTATAGTTGATTTTTGTTTTGTGTCCAGGACCCAGGCAAAGATCATACATTGCATTTTATTACCATGTCTCTTTAGTCTCCTCTTATACAGAACAATCTTTGCATGTTGCCTGACACTGACCTATTTGAAGAGTCCAGCTGGGCACAATGGCACATGCCTATAATCCCAGCAGTCTGTGAGGCTGGGGCAGGAGGATTGAAAGTCCAAGCCCAGCTTGGGCAAGTTAGTGACTTAGCGGAAATCTATCTAAAAAAAAAGAAAAAAGGAGGGCGAAGAATGTAGCCTAGTGTGAAGGCCCTGTTCAGTTCTTAGTACTGTTAAACTTTTGTCGTGGTATGGTGTCTTTTTGTCACATAACACCTGGTGCTACTGCAATTTTTCCTGTTATTGGTGATTGGAAATTAGATAACTTAGTTGTTATCTACCACATTTCTCCCTTTGCCCTTTACAATAACTAATAACTAGTCCATGGGTTGATATTTAAGACTTGATATTTCACCAAGGCCCAAAAGTGCAAATCACCCACATGTCCTTTATCTTCAACAATTTTGTATCCAGTGTTAATGCCCTTTGGTGATTCTTTTGTTTCGTTGAGATAGGGTTTTTTTTGGTACCGGGGATGGAGCTCTGGACTTCACACTTGGCAGGCAAGCCCTGTGCCACCAAGCTACATCCCTGGCCTGAGACAGGATTTTGATATGTAGTTCAGGCTGGTCCTGAACTCACTATGTAGCCCAATCTTCCTGCCCCAGCCTCCTGAGTGCTGGGATTGGTAATTCTTTTTTTTTTTTTGCACCGGGGATTGAACTTGGGTCCTTGCGCTTGAGAGGCAGGCGGCGGAACCACTGAGCTAAATCCCTGGCATCCCTGCACTTTTAATTTTGAGGCAGAGTCTTGCTAATTCACTAAGTTGCCCAGGCTGGGTTCAAATTTATGATCTTCCTGCCTCAGCCTCCCAGAGTGCTGGGATTTTAGGTATGCACTACCATGTGTGGTTGAGTCTTTGCTTTTAACAAAATTGGAAGAAGAACCAACTGAGTTGTTAATCATTGAAAAATATTCTTGATAACAAATCACTACATAAGTGTTTGTTATAACTCAGGAGTTCCAACAATTCAATTATATTGCTGTTATAAAACCCTGTTCCCTTTTACTTATGAGAACAAGGCTTCTCATTGCTTATGTCTGTAAAAATAAAAAGTAGAAATGGAATTGGTGCCGAATCTATTTTAACAGTAAGCAAGACCTACCCATGGAAACCTGAACCAGCCTCTTCCTGTAGTTTGGATGCATTTCTGATACACATTTTCCTTATCTTTAATAATGATCAACATTTAATTGTTTTGATCAGATATGTTTTAATAGTAATTGTAATACAATCCAGAATAAAAGTACTTTTAACCCTTAAGAGTTTATGGTCACAGAAAATTTAATTATATTTAAATTGCACAATGTCTTAGAGAATTAAGTATGATCAGTGGGAGTTTTCAAGCGTAAAATCATATTAGGGTAAAATTTGGGGGGATGGGTAAAATTGTAGATGTGAGAGGAAAATTGAAATAGACACTTAAGAAGAAACTTCTGACTCCTCAATAGTGGCATAGTCTGAATGCCCCCTCAGGTTCCTGTTCCATTTAATCCTCACTGAACCCAACCGAGGTATTTGGAGGGGGATCTTCAGGATGGGTAAACGGGGTGGGTCCTGGACCCAGTGGGACTGTGGCTTCAGAAGAAGAGGAGGTGAAACCTGAGCAGTACACTGCTAGCTCCGTCATGTCCTTGGCCTCTTGGGCATCTGTATTCTCCGTTAGTAAGAAGGACCTTGAACTTCTCAGCTTTCAGAACTGTGAGTTGAGTAAGGCTTTATTCTCTTACTTACTTTTTGTGTGTGGTGCTTGGTAAGGAAACCAGGCCCTTGCACAGCATAGGCAAGTGCTGTACCACTGAGCCACACTTCACCCCTACTGCCTTTCTGTAAATTGTCCAGTCCGAGGTGTGTAGGCCCAGCAACAGAGACTGGGGAAAGACAAAGTGGCATTTGTATTTCTAACTGGATAAATAAAAGTGGGTGTCCAGTGTTTATATCCCACTAGATGGATTTATAAAAGTGATTTAATAGTTTAGCCAATATTTACAGTACAACAAATTATATTTCTAGCAATAATTTATTTATTTAATTTTTTTTTCCAGTACCAGGCATAGAACTCAGGACCTTGCGCTTGAGAGGTAGGCATGGCACCACTGAACTAAATCTCCATTCCACTAGCAATAATTTAAACTTACAATGAAAACTTTTTAGATGAGTGGTACACAAAAAAATTAGGGTACACAAGAACCGTTGAAAACAGCCCCTTGGTAGTTCTCTTAAGAAGTGTGCACTTCTAGCCTTTGTTTTCTCTGTCAGCCTAATTGCCTTCAGGGTCCACTTGGCCTTCACTCCTTCCTGTTCCGCACAGAGAGTCTGGTATGAAGCTCTCAGTGGCAGGTGAAGACAGAGGGCTTTCAGAGCACTTGGCCAAGTTCCTTTTATTTATTTATGTATTTTTTTTCTTCCCTTTGTGTGTGTGGTTCTGGGGACCCCTGGCTTCCCTGATGTACAGGTTTGTCTGCATCCAAGTCCCAATACACCCAACCCTGCTTAGGTTTCAAGACCAGATGAGGTGCTGTGGCAGGAAGTGGATGCTGAGGTTTGTAACCCCCACATCATCCTTCTGACTTTTCTTTGGGTCACAAGCTGACCAGACCTCTCACTTTCTGGCCCATTGATCTTCAGTAGCTAGAGGTGACACTCTGGCAGTAAGAAGTGTCTGCTGTGAAACCTGTCCTTGTTTAACAGTGTGACTGCACATCCTTGGTCTGCCGGCTGTGTGATCAGGCACCACAGGGTGCCCATGGCAGGGAGAGCTGAGAAAGGTGCTCCATCCTTGGGGTCTTTAACATGAATTCCATTAGCCTCTTGTTAGGTTCCTTGGTCATCATCCGTAATTCCCTGGGGCCTCAGAACTGAGTCAGATGGCCTTGCCTTCGATAAGCAAGCCTGGGGATTATATTTAAGGACTTCTTAGCCAGATATGTTGGTGCATACCTGTAATCCCAGAATTAGGGAGGCTGAGGCAGGAGGATTGCAGCAAATTTGAGGCCAGCCTGGGCTACTTAGTGAATTCAAGGCCAGCCTGAAACACCATGCCACAAAAGGAAGCTGCTTTAAAGTGTTTTTAGGCCTCTTCTCAGCACTGATAGAGCATGTGGTCGAGACACACCCTAGTTGTGAGGAGCTCTGCAGCCACACTCACCTGTTCCCCTGGGAGTGCCAGTGACCTGTGGTTTTGGTTGCTTTAGAGCAGGTTGGCTGAGGTGGAAGGAAGCCTCTCTGGGGCTTGGGTTCTGGCACTCCTGTCATGAGAGCCTCCTCTTGAGTTAGGGGCAGAGGACAGATCGTTTGCCGTCTCCTCTGCAGTTAGAGCTGTCGCCCAGAATCCTGTCTTTGTGTGGTGCCAAGCAGCCTGTAGTGTGGTGCTGCTGCAGGCCGTGTGGGGATGGGCAGCCTGGGCCTGATGCTGCTTGCTCTGCTCTGGAGTCTCTTGGAGGCATTTTCCCAGATGGCTGCCACAAAATACAAGCGGAAAGCATGCCAAGCACAATGGCTAAGGTTACCATTCTGCAGGTGACATTTTCTCCTTCGTGTTCCGACAGCCTGCCTGGGACATCATGCCTTCCCTTTCCATGACTGTCCATGGTCACTGACATTTGTCATGGTCACATGGCTCAGGTCCCTCACACTTGTACTACCCAGATTCAAATTTTTGCTAAGTTCAAATATGGATGGAGACCAACTGAGGCAGCCTCGGGCTGTGAGAAATGGTGGCCTTGCCTCCCAGCAACGGGAGTAGCAGAGGCTCAGTGTGGTGGGGCCTTGGTGTGGTGCAAGGTGAAACAGACCCTGTTGGGGCTCGGGGTGTCCAAGGCAGAAAAAGGGAGACCGAGGCCGTGCAGGCCTGTACCCAGCACTGGGTTGTAATACCAACTGGGAGGCAGGCACAGAAATCGGGGAGCTCTCCAGGGGGTGGGGGAGAGGGGGAGAGTGGCAGAGGGCAGTTAGGCAGGAACAGAGCACAGGGGCAGTGCCTGCTGGTTCCGGGGCTGCCTCGGGCTCCTGGCTGTACCATCTTAGGCTGTAGTCACTGAGGGAGCCCTGAGCTGGGCAGGAGGTCACTTGCTTCCAGAAGGCCCCGGGGATGTGATGTTCCAGAATCTATCAGTACCTGGCAGGCTCCAAGCCTGTGCCCCCCCCCCCCCCCCCCCCCCCCCCCCCCCCCCCCCCCGCCACCGTTGGGGCCACTGAACCATGTTGTGAGGCAGATTAATCTGGAAGTTGTGCTGCAGCTGAGTAAGTTGATTTCGACTTCAAAGTTCACTGATGTTTAATTAGAACCATCTTGAGACTAAACTTGCTCCCAGGAAATTATTCTGACCGAATA